TTTTCCAATGACGTCGCCTGTTTTAGTTGCAACTCACTAAGATGGAATGTTCTTTGCTTTGGAAATATTTCATTTCACTTCAGGGGTTTTAACACTTCCCTATTTTACCTTGAAAAAAGATTGGCCTATGGAAAAGGCTTCAAGGCTTGGTGGCACTGGTTTCTGAATACATAAGGTCAGCCATCTTTGAACTAGACTTAAGCCATATGCCGACCAGCAAGCAATTGAAATTCGGCTGGTTAGGTAGGAACCAGTCCAATTTCAATCCATGTATGAGCAGGTTGGTTGCACAGAAGTTGATTGGTGGATCAGCTTCTGTACAACCACCCTGCTGGAATTTTGCTGTTTGATCAGCACTGCTGGCTATAGCCAGCAGTGCTGATCACTGTATTCTGATGGCAGGAAAGTTCCCCTTGTGTGAATGGGGGAATCGAGTCATTTTTTCTTAAATCAATCATCTATGGGCTGCCTTAGATCCACTGTAGCTTAGTACGTCTCTCACAAGGAACAATGGGCCATAAGGGTTCAACGTATTTTTGTTTTTAAAAACTGCTTGGTTGTTTGAAGTAGACTTCACAGGCAAGACTGAAAATGACTCCGTAAATGATCCTGTTACCCAAGATGCCTTTGTCCCTTTTCCCTGTCTTCAACAATACTTTTTGACTGAATGCATAGTGGGGTTGATTTACTAAAACTGGAGAGTGCAAAATCTGGTGTACATGTTATCCAATCAGCTTGTTCAATTAAGCTTTGACAAAAAAAATGGCTGTTTCTTTGAGAAAAACAGCAAGGTCATCAAAGTGGGCCTTTACTTAGATGTTGGCAGTGGGGTGAATAAAGAAGAACAGGATTGCTGAGACACTTCCCATTTAGAAAATGCTGCTTCAGTTGAGTTTTCTTCAATGCTGCTCACAGTAGCAAAAGCCGAGGCATTTGGTCATGTGCTTTCTGCTGAAAGGGTGGATCGGAGTTCAGATGTGTTAATCTTTCCCTTTTAGCAGAGGCCACGTAATGAAAAGCCTAGATTTTTGGTCATGTGATATGAAATGTGAGCACTTTAATCAATTTAATATCCTGTATCCATCTACAGTGAAACTATTAAAATAACTTTACATTAAAATGGGTTAGAAGTTTGGATCCCATTAATGATCTATCAGTCCCCTTCATTCATTTTCCACCACACATTAAATGTTTTCTGTGGATGCTACAGGATTATGATAGCAATGATTAAATCTGTCAATGTTAGCAAAAATTGGGTAGAACATGGTCAAATTTAGCAGTGTCTGTTGTATATTAGTTGAAGACAAATACATTTTTGGCAGATTCTTCATTCTTAGTGCTCAGTGTTAACGTTGACTTCAAATGTAGCTCAAACTAAGTCAAACAAGATGCCAAAAACCTAGTCAACTGCCAAACAGCATCTAACATTCACAAGAATATATATATGGCGTGACCTGTCTCCTACTTCTGCCACACTTTCTGATTTAGGCTTCTGGAGCAAATGTTCAGTATTTTCTAGTGATCGTTTTTTTAACCATTGCCAAACTTTAAAGCAGTAGTAAACTACGTTCATTTAAAAAAATGCAAGTTGAAGACATAATGTGCCAGTATGCATCTCATACTAGCACATTATGCAAAACTTGCCTTAAAATGAAGCCCTCCAGTAGCACGCCGTCACCACTGTAGATGCTTCCATCTTCACCTGGTTTTCCTTTCGGGTTCATGAGCTCCGACCAGCTGACTGGCTGTGCCGCGATGACGTCACTCCCACGCATGCGCATGGGAGACTCGGGACACGACACAGTGCACGGGTATGCCATTCCTTCAAAGCCCATGCGCTGGCTGCAAAAAACTTGAATATCTCCTAAATGGCGCACATTAGGAGATATTCATTTTACTTACAGGTAAGCTTTATTATAAGCTTACCTGTAGGTAAAAATATACAAAGTGGGTTTACTTTCACTTTAAAAACACAGACAATTTACACTTCTGCATTGCAATTTAGAGCATTGGGAGGCCCATAGAAATCAATTGCAGCACATCAAAATGCATATAACATGCACTTTGATGTGATGACAAAAGTTATTAACAGGTCATGGTCAACAGCTGTTAAGGCCTGTACCCATAACAAGAAAATTGTACGAAAATTTCCGTACGAGGGACGATTGGCCGTTTATCTGATTATTACTATAGTGCTTTCAAAAGCTAAGTTTGACTTTTCGGAAGACAAAAACTGAGGGTGCAAGCTAAAAAATATTTATGGTACATGAACACAACGTCCGATTTTTGTTTAATGTGTACGGTAATCATACAGAAATAACCAAATAGGAAAAAAACACGAAGGATCAGAAGCATAGAATGACCCTACACTTCCTCTTCTACTATGCTAGTATGTAGCTGCATTTGCCTACATTTGCCTTTGTCGGCTAAGAATTTTTCTACAAGTCAATACCATTCAAAATAAATCCATCAGGAATGGTGGAAACCCCTCCTATTGGGCACAGAAGTTGTCCAGACCCAGGAACCCAGCACATGGATGTGGAAACCCCTCATAATGCGCACAGAAGGTGTCCAGAACCAGGAACCCAGCACATGAATGTGGGAACCCCTCCTAATGGACACAGAAGGTGTACAGACCTGGTAACCATGCACAGGGATGGTGGGAACCCCTCATAATGGGCACAGCGAGTGTACAAACCCAGGAGCCCAGCACAGGGTTGGTGAGAACCCCTCATAATAGGTATAGAAGGTGTACAGATCCAGGAACCCAGCACAAGGATGGTGGGAACTCCTCATAATGGGCACAGCAGGTGTACAACCCCAAGACCTCAGTACAGAGATCTCACTGATAGAGTAAGTTGGGAAATGAAAGGGAGACTTTCATTGGTTGGTTGTGGGCATGTAACAATTTTTCCTGCTTTCCTGGCAATAGGACAGCAGCTTATATTTATCTCATGTGCTGATGCCCTTTGAAAATGTTCTTCTCTCAGTAACTGCCCCTCATTTAAAGCATAACATCAAAGCCTAGAAAATAAGCCTGCATAGCATTGTGGGAACTTTGCAATTTATTTGTTTGTTTAGGCCTGTTCAGCTTTTTCCTTTAGAGGAGAGCCAACACAAAATTATTATTTTTTAATTATTGTACCTGTGTGTACCTGAAAATACAAAAACATATGTGCTGCCCTTTCAATCCTCTTTGTGACGAAAAAACAAAAACAAAATTAAAGTGTCACTAAACCCCGGCCCCTGCATTCACTATATCTGGTCCCCCACAGCACACAGAACATGGAAATCCAATTATTTTAGTAAATATAAATGGCTAAATACCTTTTCTCATCAGCAGTATATAGCAGTCTTGTGACTTCTATCAGTGTCTAGCTGAGCACTGGTTAAAGCTTGTAGAAGGAGTTTTTATTCTCCTCTGACTGTCCGATGAGCTTGCATAACCCCTGACCCTTTATCTGGACAGTGCTGTTGGGCCCTGGGATGATCACATGCACCCTCCTAAAGAAAAAAAAAACCTCTCAAGCAATACACACTAAACTGAGCATGTGTGGGGTGACTCATAGAGCTCTGTACTATCAGCAGATGGATTGGGGACAGTAGCAGAAGTGCAGGATCAGTGAAGACAGGATCAAACAGCCTTTTTATACAATGCGGATTATCAATTATAACAGCTGCTGCAACCACTTAAGTATGTTCGCCACCCAAATAATCAAAATCTTGTGTTTGTGCTGCTACTGAGTGTACCAAACAAAATAACAACATATATTAGTGTATATATATATATATAATCTAACAGTGTCACACAAGTGCTATAAAATAAATCATCAAAATGTCAATAGAGTAAACTGTTGGTGTTCAATCATCTTCACACTCCACTCATAAAGTATAGAACGTGTCTCTATTAATTCCACTCTGGGAATCGATCCCACCAAGCCCAATGATGGAAACAATTCCCAGAGTGGAATTAATAGAGGCACTTTGGTTGAACACCGAGAGTTTACTCTATGGACATTTTGATGAATAATTTTATAGCACCAGTGTGACACTGTTAGATTATATATACCCACTATTATATGTTGGTTATATTTTGTTTGGTACACTCAATAGCAGCGCAAACACAAGATTTTTATTATTTGAGTGGAGAACATACTTAAGTGGTTGCAGCAGCTGTTATAATTGATAATCCGCATTGTATAAAAAGGCTGTTTGATCCTGTCTTCACTGATCCTGCATTATGTGTAATTATGTGTAGTTGATAAAAGCCAAGGTCACCATGAATGGTAAAAAAAACATGGAAAAAGCAGAGTTCTCAATCAGTTGCTTGTAGCCAGAAGGTTAGCACAACAGCCAGGCAAATAGCATATTCAGAAGGAGGTCATCTCCTGATGAGTGCACTTTAGGTATATCTGCCTTGTAGCACTAAGTTCTTGGTTTTAATCTTTTCAAATCTATGGCTCTCAATAAAATAATACCTGGGCTCCTGCCATGAAAGTTCTTGTTTAATTACTTCCTGCTATTGGGTGACAACGCTCTGTTCAAGTCTCCCATTCTGCATTGTCACCCATCACATGCGCTTCCAGTTGAGAGTACAAATGGCTGAGATGACTCACATTGTGTAGGCATAGTCCACTGTTACCTCCATTAGGAAAATGTATGTAGGCATGATTTGGCTGCAAGGAGGTTGCAAAGAGTTATCTCTAAAATGCTTTCTTGACTTTCTTGCTTGATGACCTAGGGCAGGGCTTAAAATTTCAAGTCCTGAGCTACTAGCCAGGCCTTAAGAGTTACTCGCCACCAACAAACACACACAGAGACACCTGTACACACACACAGACATGTACATACACACACATACACACACAGAAACATGTACACACACGCACAGAGACACATGTACAAACACACACATACAGCCACATGTATACACACACAGGCACGAAAAGTACCAGGGACATCTCATGAGGCCCCCAATGGTCAGTCCGCCCCTGGCACAGACACATGTACATACATACACACAGACACATGTACATACATACACAGACACATGTACACACAGACACATGTACGTACGTACACACAAACACACACATGTACATACACACATACACATGTACACACATACATAAGTACACACATACATGTACATACACATGTACAGATACACACATGTACATACACACAGACACATGTACATGCATACACAGGCACACACAAACAGGCACACATGTACACACACACACACGCTGTTAAGTGCTCTCTCCTCTCCCCTGAAGCCACCACTGGCTGATGTAGAGGATCATGTGACCAGAGTGAGCTGAAATTAGGTAGGCACACACACACACACACACACAGCCCTATAAAAAGTTGCAGTACTTCATTGTTCACTCACAGATCCGGGTACTGCACTCTAGGGGGAGGCAGAGAGCACAGCACACACTCCTTCCTTTGCTTTCACTGCGCTCAGCTATTGAGCAGTCTGTCGGCTCCCAGTGCCAATGACAGCTCCGGACAGCCAGGACAGCCCTGGGGGACACACTCGCCCCCACCATAATTTCCACTCGCCATTGGCGAGCAGGCGAGTGGAAATTTCAAGGCCTGACCTAGGGGTCAGTAACCTGGAGACAAACTTGGCAGTAACACGGCGCATGTTCAAATCACAAGTAAGGATTGCCTGCACTGTTCCGTATGACACACCAACAATGGCAGCAGTGTTGTGAATTGTTCTCCGACAATCATCATACACAAGAATGGTTTTGACATTTTCGGGGCTTGAGCTGGTTGAAGGTCTTCCTTCTTGATCTCTCATCGTCTTTCAGTGAAGTTCTTCTGCTCTTGAAGCGCACGTGCCACTCAAAACACATCAAATGACTAATTTCAGAATTGCCGTAAACTTGCCGAATCATGGCAAATGTCTCTGTGGCAGATTTGCCCAGTTTTTTGCGTTTGCGCTTTGTTCTAACTCACATGGTTAGAATAGCACCAGTTGCACAGCTCCCGATGTACACAGGACAATATCTTTTGGCACACTGACTTATGAAGGTCGGTGATCCCTGTGACTGTGCATGCAGCTTTGTACTGCCATCTGTTGGCATGTTACAAAACTAGTCTTGAAACTTTTAGATACCACCTGTTAATTTCTTTTTGGGGAACAGCATAAATATAGGGATTGGGAAGGTTTATAAAGTAGATATAAACTCAAATGGGATAACATTTAGTTTGCTAAAGCAAGGAGTATCATAAACAATTGTAATTTTTTTCTAATAAGCATGTTTTTTTAATCTCTTTTCTCATCTCTGTACTGCTGCTCTCCTCCAGTCTTTTTTCATATATATCCTGTCTTCATGAACTTGCTCCAGCATTGGCTGCACATCATGGCTCTGCACCAACCTCCTGACAACTTACAAGGATGGACAATGTGTGTCACCACAGACATTTGTACCCTTCACCAGTGGTGCATATAACAGGGTGACAACGCAGGAGAACAAGTGTGAGATAGTTGTCAAAAAATTAAAAACTACTTTATAAATTACATTGACATGTTATATGACATTTTAGTATTGAGTTTACCTCTACTTTATTTTTTGAAGGCTGTGCATGTGCTACATTTTCATACTCATTAAAATGTAACGTGATATTTTTTATATCTTTGTAACCTTCCTGTGTTTATTTATTTTAGGTACTTATATAGCGCTGTCAATGTATGCAATGCTTTACATATATATTGTACATTCACATCAGTCCCTAACCCTCAAGGGGCATACAATCTAAAGTCCCTAACTCACATTTGTATATACACATATTAGGGACAAGTTAGATAGGAGCCAATTAACCTACCAGCATGTCTTTGGAGTGTGGGAGAAAACTGGAGTACCTGGAGGAAACCCATGCAGGCACAGGGAGAACATGCAAACTCGAGGCAGGTGGTGCCATGGTTGGGATTTGAACCAACAACCCTAGTACTGCCAGGTGGAAGTGCTAGCTATTTAACCACTCTGCTGCATTCTTTTAAAACCAATTTCCTAGGCACATGTAAAATGCACAAATTAATGCAGCTTTGATTATTAATACATTTATTTTGAAATAGAAGCAGTGTAATTGCTTGAATTTGAATTGGTATCAGCCTCTTTCAGTCCCTGTGCAGCAGACAGATAGAGATAGAGAGAGAGAGAGAGAGAGAGAGAGAGAGAGAGAGGGGGGGGGAGAGAGAGGGGGGGAGAGAGAGAGAGAAGCAGTACAAAAGGATAATTAGTTGCTCATGTGCTAACAAGGAGCATGCAGATAGGAGCAGAGATGAGCTCTCATCAGTCTGCTACTTATTCTTCACTGTCCAGTCACAGACTGGGGGAGGGACAAAACCTGTAAGTGTTACTTAACTGTATCAGAGAAAAATCAGGTCTCTTGCTCTGTCAGACAGGGCTGTGCTGTGTAGCAGAGCATTATAAATCCTAGGACTGGACAGACAGAAATACAAATCCTTTGGCAAGCAGAACAGTTCTTTATACACCGATCAGCCATAACATTATAACCACTGACAGGTTAAGTGAATCACATTGATTATCCTGTTATAATGGCATCTGAAAGTCAGTGGAAAATACTGGACTGCAAGTAAACATGTTGTCCCTGAAGTTGATGAGTTGAAAGCAGAAAAAATGAATATTAAAATTTGTTGTGTATTCGGCTGCGTAGCCTCAGACCGGTCAGGGTGCCCATACTGACCCAAGTCCACAGCTGGAATGCCTACAATGGGCAGTGTGATGTTTTGGGCAGTGTTCTGCTGGGAAACCTTGGGTCCTGCCATTCATGTGGATGCTACTTGATACGTACCACCTACCTAAACATTGTTGCTGACCAATTACAACCCCTTCATAGAAACAGTATTTCATACAAACAGGATGATGCACGCTGCCATATGGGATGTGCTGGAAAAACAAGTCTGGTCCATGGAGGCCCCACCTTGCAACTTAAAGAACAAAGGATCTGCTACCGACGGCTTGGTGCCAGATACCACAGAGTACCTTCAGAGGTCTAGAGATGTCCATGCCTCCATGGTTCAGGGCTGTTTTGGTGGCAAAAGGGTGACCTACTCAACATTAGGTGGGTGGTGATAAAGTTATGGCTAATTGGTGTATATCATCTTTGTACGTAGCTGTTTGACTGAAGTTCGGCTGTAATTTTGCAATGCTTTATGAATGGGAACACTGGAGGCTATGTATACCTGTTGATTGTGTTCAGGCCATGTAGTACAGTTCAAGAATGGGTCAGAAATGCTCAATAATTGTTTGCATGGAAGACCACAGTTTACCAGGTGCTGCATTTGTTTTTTTTTTGGGGGGGGGGGGGGGGGGGGTTGTGGGGCTTACCATCATCCCTTAATGGTCTGTGGAATTTGATGGCGGAATATAAAGAGTAGTACACACAGGAACAGTACCTGCCTGGGGAGGCCAGGGACGGACCTTGCTATTCAGGGAAGAGGGGGCAGATTAAGGGTGAGGGCTGTGGAATGGTGCCATGTTCCAACAGCTAAGGCCTCATGCACATGGCCAGTTAGCAGGTCCTGTGTACCGAGATGTAAAAACCCTCCAGCAGTTGCTGGCATCTGTGGTGTTGCACATGCGAATACCATCACCATTTCAAATGAATGGCTGTACAGGGCCGTGTTTGGGTAAACATTTATGGCATTCGCAGGCACTTATGGTACTTCTTCCCGAACACGTTACTTTTCACATAAAATCCCCAGAAGATGTGGTTGTTTACCCAAGCACAGCCACCTACAACCATTCACTTGTATTAGTAGCCATATGCGGCAAGTACAGCTTCCTGGGTATCAGGAGGCATTGGCGATTCTATTCCCTCAACACACTGGAACTCAGGGGATGGGCTGACAACTCACGGGGCCCCAGGGCAATAGGGGATCATGGGGCCCCTGTGTCCTTGCCCAAACTCAAAAAAGCCTATGAAAAAGGTACCAGGGGCATCTCATGGGGCCCCCTACTGACTCCGGGCCCTCGGGCAGTGCCTGAGTTTTCCAAATGGTCAGTCCGCCCCTGCTGGAACTGCTAAGTGTTTGTGTCCATGAGGCCTAAATATAGGTGTAACATGAAGCATGGTCTGAAAGGTTGAATTAGCCTTTAAACTTGTAGTCACATGTGATGAAGATTTAATAAGTGGAAAGTTGAATGATCATTTGAAGAAATCTCTTTCCGCTGCTTGTCCTAATGACGCGTATGCACTTTCAAAAAAAATTTGACTTCACTTTACAGAACAAGATTACGTAAGTTTTAGTCATTTTACGGGACAGTTTTAATGAGTCAAACAGACGTGAGCTTTTTTGGGTCACCATCTACACAAGAGGACCTGGGCTTTGGCTCCTGAAAAACAACATTTATAATAATTGGAATATTTTTTTTTCTCTTTTACATAAATGCAGCCCTATTTTCATAAAACCGTATAGGAAATTACTATCCTGAAAAATTTTGCTCCCTATAAATAGTTCAGATTTGAAACAAAAGTTTTTGACCGCATACCAGATGCTGCGATGCTCGTGGTTACCCTGGCCGTGTGATATAATTATATGTTTGGAAGGCTGGAACGGGAAGCAGGGATACCAGAAGGCTGTTGCTGAAGGAATTACAAGTGAATGACTGCATAAACCCACGGATGAAATTGCGTTATTATTCAAGGTCTTTTCGTTACAAGGCCAATGCATGTCAGGCATAGGCAGCCGGCTGCTGTGTCCTCTTTTAAAGTGACCCTGTAGCTAATATACAAACTTTCAGGCAGTACCCTGTACAAGGATACGTTGTGTACTTAACTGTCCAGCAGGCTTTGTGCTGAAACTTTGCTGTTGCTTCTGCACACTTCTGGGTGTGTTGGATAGATGTCCCCTGCTGGTGCTGTGGTTCCTCCCGCAGAACCTTATGGCACTATTGTGTCCTGCAGTGATGTAGAGGTCGGTGGTAGCAGCCAGCAAGTGCCCAACGAGAAACACGTTACAATACAATGGCCGCCAGACAGGTAAGTATTAAGTTGCTTCTTTCAGGGGATGATTTTCCTTTAAAGCCCATGTGGATCTTTTGCAATGTGTTGTTGTAATGCACATAAATACACAATCCACGCATAAAAGTGCATTGCTA